ATTGTATGATATGTTTCCTTCATATTAACAGCATGGGCGATGGGAACAGACGGCTTTTGGTTTCCATAGTGAAGCAAAACAGCCTTTAAACTTTCCTTGCTGCTATCAACAAATAACCTCCAATCTTTTGGGTCGTAAGCTTCAGCTAGTTGCTTGAAGAGTCCGAAAATGTCGTGGCAAATGGACATATCATCCTTCGTTGTATAAAATTGTGCGTAAGTCAAAGGACGCGTCCGAAAATGAGTTACGCTGACGTTTTCTTTTAATAAACCGGAATCCTTTAAAAAAGATCCAAGAAACTCGGCTTTATATTTAGGAAGATACAGGCTCCTCACAAAATCGTTTAATTGTTCCTGTGAAATGGGCTTGCAATATTTCCATTCTCCTGAAAAGCTATTACTTACTTTTCGTCGTAATCATATGCTGTTAAATTCAATCTACACATTTTACATATACAGCTTGGTGCCCACTCATCAACAAAACTTTCGGGTTTCATTTAAAGTTTTCTTCATACTGTTCTTATAGAATTTCGGTCAAAGCAACTTTTATTTCGTTGATCATCATGTACTTACCATATGTACCATATTTAGCAAAAATGATCGGCCAAAGGTATCAATGACAATTGATTTTAATTAATTGTAAGATGATTTGGTAAACACACGATCGAATTTTGAGGGAAGTCAGAACTATACTAAGGCACAGACACTATAGGCACACAGTTATATATCCATGACTATGATTAGGTAGACACGACAAGATCTAATTTGTGGGGACCAGCAGTTGTGAAAAACTTATGTACCAATATCCATACCTTAGATTAGGTATAACGAATAAATGTAACTGTCAACCACATTTAACGCCAAAGGAACATTAACAGGTACCAAAAATACAAGTCGACCTCGTTTGCTTTGATCCCAATTGGGCACTTGGGCCCGCATCCTTCCAAAAGGTATTTTTCCGAGGTTTTTATTCATTTTTTAGGGTTGGTTAACGAATTTTAGCTCCACCGTCTCTCCATAAAAAACCCAGCATATAATATTTTTCTATTTTTCCTGACTTTTTAAAGGCAAAATTTCGTAAAAAATTATTATTTTTGCATTTGAAAGCTTAATATTTTCCAAGCGGTAAGCTGAAATTACAAAGTGTTTATGTCCCATTAATAGCTTCGTTTATTACCTTTTCATTACAACCAAATGTAAGATACTTAAGCTATGTGAAAAAAAGGCGCTACATCTAAAAAAAGCTTTAAAAAATACCAGACTTCAAATATTCTCCAAAAAACAGTATTGAAATAGAAAAAAACAAAATTGACCCAAATGTATCAGAAAAAGTCGGGTTGGTTCCTTGAGGAAAAAAAAAGTTCGATTTTGTCGAGTAGTGTAATTGGAGGTGAAGGAACGGAGAACGGCCGGAATCGCCGATAATATGGCGTTCGCGAAAAAGAAATTAAAACAGAAACTGGATACATTTGGTCGAGAAGTGTAATTTGACGAATGGTATGTAGGAAAATGCAATAAGAAGCGTCAGAAACAGGATGCGAGAGAACAGAAGCAAAGTTTACGTTCGAAATTTTAACCCGAATAGCATTCAGACTTATGTATATCAATTAGTAATTAGCAAACCGATGGAATTTCGTCGATACCACCAATGGCATATGATGCATGTCGCATTCTGGAACAGGCAGTTCGCAACATGTAACACAGTAATCGATATCCGAAAAAACAAAAACTAAGTCTTGAATCTTAGTTAACCTATTTAGTTTGACAAGTTTTAAGCCCATACTAAAGTAGTCATTTAAAAAAGGGATTTCTTGTGGCAAGTGCACATTGCTCGGCATCATAGCCGACGATTGCGGATTGGCAGTCCATACCAGCGAACCCAGGCGTGGACTTTCACAACGGTACCATTGCGCGGAGATCTACTGCCGTAAAGTCAGCTCTCGGCTCTGTCTGTATACAATGCGATACAGGCCAAAACTTGTCATCAAAGACAGCGGAGAATAGAATTCAGGGATGCTGCAATAATTTTAATTATATAGATTGATTAATTTTTAATAAAACAAGAAAGTTGCTTGTCGTTTAGAAACCCCGTCATATATTTTTTTTTTCAATTCGAAGTCGAATTAAATAATTTAATTTGTAAAATGGTTCGCGTAAATAAATTAAAAGACTTTAGGTTTGTTAGGGCGGTTGTCAGGCTTGCCATGAGCCTGACACACGTAGGCCTGTTATCCCATCCGCAAGTTATCCAATGCACTTATGAAGTTTGCGATCCTTCTGGGATTCATTGTAGAAATTTCATTTATGAAGGGTGAGTCCAAGTGTTGTAGCCTCCTTTTGCTCAGAACTGGACAGGAACAGAAAAGGAGAAAACTCTCCCTAAGACCTTATTGTCCAGGTTCGATCCAACTGTGAAGATTTTTTTGAATTCAGTCCATTATTTGAAGCAATTTTAATAATGAGTCGCCTGGCTGCTGGTGTTGTCGCGTGCTGAGACCCTCCTTTCATATTTGATCAGCGATTTCGCGCTGATTTAGGCCAGAATTTATGGTAAGTTGGTTAAAATGATAGTGATTTTACTTTTGAAAATTGTTGAATCCATTCAGTTGAGCAACACTTTGTCTATCTATATTTTCGGCACTACAAAAATATTTAGCTTATCATACCCTATCCTATCCCTACCCTATACCCTACATACCCTATCCCCTGAATTATCCCTTAAAATTATAGCCACTAAGATATACCTGTACCTACAATCCTCTAGTTTTTAATTATTTCTTATATCCCCTCTTTTCCTTTAATTTTAATCATAGTTTATATAAGCAGATAGTTGCTGATCCTCTTCAATAAATAAATAATACATAGATCATAATCGGGAGTGCCACAGAAAACTCTAGAGTTTTTACTCCGTAGGATATTCTCTAGATATTTAATTTTTCAGAAACTTATTTTGAAGTCGCGAAACAATGAAATATGTAGCACACTATGTTATATGGGCATATGGGCTAATCCTGCGTTACGGGCGTTACATTCGTACGAAAATTTGCTTGTTAACATTGACACAGCTGGCGTTCACATTGGTATATTTTCATGAAATATTTTCAAAATGCAGTTCTTTGGGAGTAATTTCAAACTTACTTTCAAAAAAAAGGTTAACTGTTTTTGACAAATAAAGTTCATATTTAATAAATTGAGTGGAATATATTACCATAATAATCCAGCAAACAAAAGAAGGATAAGTAGTACCGTTGAAAAGAAATCTTAATTTAAGTCTGTTACAGACGTTGTGTTACGGACGTTTCACATTTTTCCAACAGGCCAAATTTTTAAATTTTTATTTTTCATCAGATTAAATTGCATAAAAACTCTGTTTATAAAGCTAGTTTAGAGAAAAAAATGTGCACAATTCATTCTGCTAAATTAAAAACGAGAAGGAACGTGTGAGCCGCTTCTGGGGACGTGACTTATAAGCGTACTCAATCAGTATATACATTTTTAAGCTTATATTTTTTAGGATTTTAGAATTTAAAAACAAAATTTTAAATTTTTTTTCTGCATCTGTTATCTACATCTACAGTGTATATTATACGTCTAACATGTAGATTCTACATGTACCATTTATATTCTACATCAAATAACGAGGCAGTGTGCGAGCGAGAAAGATAATGAGTAACGGGTATCTTGCAGAAGAAGGTGGGTGAAGCAACTGAAAATTAATTTCTTCATTCTGGCTATAATTATGATCCGATCTCCCGATCTCCTGATTCAGATTCGGCAATCTGGTAGATATGGGCATTCTCTACAATACTGCGTTTTTAGTTTTATCGTATCTTTAAAATTGTGCCTGCCACAGATTTTCGTCTTTTGGGGGGCGGGGGGGGGCGGGGCGAAATTCTGAAGTACACTTGTAGCAGTGTGATATCACATGAGTGTGGAAACCAAATTTGGTTGCCCTATCTCTTATAGTCTCTGAGATCTAGGCGCTCAACAAGACGGACAGACAGACAGACAGACGGACAGACGGACATGGCTATATCGACTCGGCTATTGCTGCTGATCAAGAATATATATACTTTATGGGGTCGGAAACGTTTCCTTCTCTGCGTTGCACACATCCACTTTTACCACGAATACAATATACCCCTAACTATTTTTTGAGTACGGGTATAAAAAAATCCCCATTTTCTTTTACGGAAGTTACACACAGGGTACCTAATTATAGTTAAAAGTTTTAAATATATAATACATATCTTACAAATATGATTTTTATCTTAACTAAAAGAAAATTAAACAAGTCTTAAGTTTTGCTAAGCATTACTGAAACGACTGTTTTGCCCACTTTTTTGTTGATACCTAATTTTGTGGGAATAAATGATAGCAAGAGGTACGTGCCTCTGCCAAGAACAAACAAACTACCGTGATACCATATTGCGTATATATTTTAAAGCATAAATCCAAACATTTGGACTTTGGGCAACTTTAAATTTCCAAAAAATTAAATGTCTATTAAAAAACATTTCCATATAATTATTTTGCGATATTATAGTCTAAATTTAATGAACGACAACTAATTTACCTATTCAAATAAGCTACGTTCACTTTTTCGGTATTTTTTGGAATTTTTCATTTTTTAGTCATGTTTTCTTTTTCGATTATCTCTTTTAAAGAAGATTCTTGAAAAAAAGCAAAATCTTTCTAGCATATTAAACAAGCTAAAAAAAATACGAAAAAAATGGTTCAATCTCGGCTAACGGTATATCTTTAACTGTTATTAAGGTTTTAATTAAATTTAAAAAAATCTCTATTAAGCTTCATAGAGACATCAATGCAAAATATTTACAGAAAGTCGCATCAATATATTGCCCCAATTTTCGCTGAAATCTGAGTTTGAATTGATCGCCGTGAGAACCGCTTCCATATATACAAAAATCTCGAAAAAATATAGTTGCCTTAGTTTAATAGTTGAATTTATGTCTTATTTTCTATATTTTTACGACCTACCTTGGCAAAGAAGCACCAGTAACTTTATGCAGCTTGAAGAGATCTACATATTGTGGGAGCTGTACAGATTGGGCCAACCAGTCTGTAGTCTGTTCAATAGTCCAGTTATGTACCTCTGATCTCAGCCACGCTTCCCACAGCTCTTTGACAGATATATGCATGTCATCATTAAAATGAAACGCCTTTTGCCGTTTTTCATAGCCTGAGTCATACTTCAACTCTTCCCGCAAAAACTAAAAAAAATATAGCAAACTTATTAATAAAAATTTTAAAATATATCGTCGCTCCTATAACAACTAAATAAAGAACATAGAATAAAATACATAAATATATATTTGAACATAAATATTTAACATTATACATACAGGGCCGTGCCACAGTGGACGATTCAGCCAAGCCGGCAGGCAATAATTAATATCTAAAAAAATAGATGAGTAATATTTTTAAAAATATTTTTTTATATTTTGGAACCTAAATCCACGGAATATTTAAAAAAATTGTATTTTTTAATTAGAAACATTTTTTAAATTAATTTCAAACAAAACAAATTTTATTTACGCTTCGAACCATACCGACTTTTTCTGATAACCTTAGGGCTTTAAAATTTTCATATTTTCATTTTTTTTTGCTACATCAGTTATCTAGTAGATATAAATTTTTGAGCTTGTTTTTTAGAATTTTAGAATTTAAAAACAAAATTTTAACTTTTTTTGCTGCATCTGTTATCTGAATCTACAATGTATATTATACATCTAACATGTAGATTATACATGTAACATTTAGATTCTACATCTTTTCCGCTAGGGGCCGCTCGCGCATTGAACAAGGCAGAGTGTGAGGAATCGTGTAACGCAGAGAAGGAAATTTTTCTGACCCCATAAAGTAGATATATTCTTGATCAGCATCAATAGCCGAGTCAATATAGCCATGTCTGTCTGTCCGTCTGTCTGTCTGTGTGTCTGTCTGTCCGTCTTGATGAGCGTCTAGATCTCAAAGACTATAAGAGCTAGGGCAACCAAATTTTGTTTTCAGACTCATGTGATATTACACTGCTACAAGCGTATTTAAATTTCGTCCCGCCCCCTTCCGACCACGCAAAGGACGAAAATCTGTGGCAGGCACAATTTCAAAGATACGATAAAACTTAAAAAGCAGTATCGTAGAAATTGACCATATCTACCAGATTGCCGAATTGGAATCAGATCGGATTAGAAATGAAGAATGAAGAAATTAATTTTCAGTTGCTTCCCCCACCTCCACCAGAAAGAGACCCACTACTCATTCTCTTTCTCGCTCGCACACTCTGCCGCGTAATGTATGCGAGCAACCCCTAGCGGAGGAGATGTAGAATATACATTCTATATGTATATGTAGATAACAGATGTAGCAAAAAATTGTAAAGTGTACAAATTTTTTTTTTAATTCTAAAAAATCATATGCTCAAAAATTTATATACTGACTGAGTACGGGTATTAGTAGAGTCGCGTCCCCAGAAGCGACTCACACGTTCCTTCTCGTTTTAATTTAAATTAATTCAATAGTGATCTCAATTCTGATCTCTGACTGCCATTGACCGTGTGAATTTTCTCTAAAAAAAACAAATAAATATAAATAATTTTTCAACAATTTCGAATATTGCTAACTTTGCGTATGGATGAAGATTCTGAATTGGACTCCGTTTCCGATGCAGACAAATACCAAGGTTGCTCGAAAACCAACGCGGCCGGATGGCACTCCCCATACCTGGACAAGTCTTCGAGTGACCTCAGAACGGCATCTGTCGGAGCAATAGTCATGAGCTATGGAGTTAATAGAGGGCAGGAAGACTGGGAAACTGGACCCACATCCACAACAAACACGACGACCTCAACTGTGCAGCACTGACGATAGCTTCACACAGCTCACTCATTCACTCATTCAGCGAAACTCCGGCAACTGCCGAAAATGTAGCAGTAGGAGCCTCCCACAGCCAAGCCCAATACGGACCCCCCATGCAACGGGGCCACTGTACAGCCCTCAGCTTTCCAGCCTGCTTTCATAGCATGGCAAAAGTTGGGTGAAATGAAGCGCCGAGGAGCCGAATTATCGGCTGATATGCCCAAGAAGGGGAAGCGCCACCAAGACCTCCTGCTACCCCTCTACAGGGCAATAGATTTGCCATCTTACGAGAGTGCGATAAAGAAAACTATAAACAAGACCTTCGAGGAATTGGAGCATCGGGTGGTAAACCTATATAACCCGAAGTCCAGAAGAAGCACCACACCTTTACCAACACAAACACAAGGTCCGTGAACATTACGGTATTTTGGCGTAATGTTCACGGACCTTAAGATCGAATTCTGGAACGCCCGTAGCCTGGTGCAAAACACGAATGAGCTGGCTCTTTTCCACCGGCGTCACAACATCGACGTCATGCTGGTGGCTGAAACGTACTTACACCCAGAAGCTACACGCTCAAAGATTACGAGTGCTATAGAGCCGACCATTGCTCATTAGAAAAAACATATCCCACTACCACCTTCATACTGTACGCCTGGAACCGATACAACAGGCGGCGATCATGGTGCAAACGCAACGCGGGAGATCTGCATAGCCGCAGCTTACCTGCCCCCATCCATCCTCTGGTCCAGCGCAGACTTTGAACACCTCCTGGCCCAATTGGGTAGCAAGTTTATAGTCGGAGGAGACTTCACCGCCAAACACAGGCTCTAGGGCAACCAACGAAATAATCGCTGGGGGGTTGCGCTGTTCGATGAGATCACAAGCTGCTGTGCACAAGTGCTAGCGACGGGCAACCCAAATAACCAAGGGCTGCCTCTGATAGGGTCGAGGCGTTCGCTGCCAAACTTGAGCAAAGGTTCCAACCCTTCCGAACGACCTCACCAAGAAGAGCCTGCCCGGTCGACCAGGCAGACGACACGGCAGTACTGTCAAGAGCTGAATGTGTCTATGATGCCACGGACAAACTCTAGCGGTACCTGAAGAAATTCGAGAACTGGGCGTGTCGATGGAATGTCTCGGTGAACCCGGAGAAATGCGTGGTGGTAACCCACACGCTCCGAAGAGAAACGTACCCCCGAGTCTTCCTACACGGTGAGATGCTGGAGCAGCGAAAGGAGTGTAGATACCTGGGAGTTACTCACTCCTCTGACCTTTAGAGTGGCATTGGAAGCAAAGGTCAGAAAGCTCTACTGGCCGTATGGAGGTATGGCGTCCAGGTGTACGGTACGACATATCTTAAAGCCACCTGAACTCTAGTTTCATCTTGTAAATAGAAACTGTTAATAGCCACTTAACATAAGTTTCTACTCAAAGTAACCGGGCCGCATTATTGGATTTTTCCGTTAAATGGAACATGCGACAATGATGCCCATAAGGCCCTGTGGATAGAAGAAGACAATTCTGTCTAGTATTTTTAAAAAATACTGAAATTATTCGGGCTATCGACGGGGTATCGACAGCAAGCAACTGTCAAACAGTAAATTCAATTTAATGTTTATATATGAGCAACACGGACTCCTTCTTAACAAGCTCCATAAACAATTGGGGTGCTCGTAGTGATACTCCCAAATGCACCGTTTTCTATATTTCTTTCAATTTCTTTCAATTTCAATAAAAATGCTTTTGCTCTATTCTTATTGCTCACCGAGCTTGTTTACATTAGTAGTAGGCCGAACAGCTGATAGATGCTTCGAAAAAAATGCAACTTTGGTGTAAAAGCCTCGCATCATTTTTCCGCACCTTCGACAATGATGCGTCAGTGAAAAAAGGGTATAAGTTATGTAATTGTTTTTACTGTTTGTGATATTTTTGTAACAATTAAAAAAAATAACATAAAGTATAAAAAAAAAATAATCCAAATCGCCGCCCCTAAATTCGAACCCCACTTGGCACGGCCCAGAATACATAGCACTTTTCAACATTTGTTATAAAAAAAACGAAAGTTTGAAATTTTCGGAACAAAAACCATATTCGACTTTAGTTTTTGCACCTAAATTTTATACAATTCACGGTCTATCAACGGTTTTTTTTTTAAAGGAGTACAGAAATACCTGAAATACACTGTACCGAACCATGGGTCTACCCATGACTCGTTACAAACGGCGAAGTGTCGGTGCACCCACACGGATTGGAAACGAAATTCAAACTAAGTTACAGAGCCAACGAACCAGGGCTTAACCCCGGTATCCACCAAGAGCGGTAATACAATAAAACACACACAATAAATGTAAAGAAAGCTCGATCAACAACTCTACACATTCTTGCCCACACAACAATTTAAAACACCCCACCTTTTGGGACATTTCGCAATCGACGGCCTACATAAGAAATATCTTTTGCGTTATTTCACAATAAGTCAAGCCAGCATAAAATTATCGACCTACCGGCCCAAATTCAGCTATCAACATCCGCGATGCAGAGTTAGCGAAAACCCATTTTGAAACCAAATACGCAATTCCCAACTGCACCTTCCGGGATGACCCACTAAAAATTGTCAACGAAGCACCAAGCTTCGACCTAGTTACCACGCCACACAAATATTGTCACCAATAATCATAAGTTAGCAATAAGCAATTATTTCCGGGTCTCAGGTGCGATCGCCAGCTGCATAAAAGGGCCAAGATCGGCCGAAAGAGTAGGCAGTCCATCAGCCCGAATACAAGACACAGGCAGTCCATCAGCCCAAACACTGCACTAGGCAGTCCACCAGCGCACCATACAACCACAAGTCAGAGTAGCAACGTAAAAGAACTAAGTGAATGAAAAAGAATACTGAATAAAATCAAGAACCAACAAACAAAAACTCTCGCATCATCATTTCTCGCTTGCCTACTGCATTTTCAAGCCAGCCCGACACTTGAAGTCACCTACAATCTACAAATTTTCTTGTAGCGGACCCTGGACAGACTGATGCATACCTCAGCCTGAAATAGGACCTCACAACACATGTAACGTTTTGACAAACGTTAACCCATTTAAAATTTGCCCTCGCCTTAGAATCCCTTAATACAACTTTTCTATATCGGGCCGACTTAAGATTCGCAAATTTGGATTTTCAGCCCACTCTAATGAGTATACTGTGATTTTATTAATCATCTGGAAAAAAACAAATAGTTTTTATTTTTATATTACAGATACAAGATTTTATTATTCATTAGTACTTTTATTTACTCGTAAACCTAGCTTCGTTAGTTTAACACTTTATTTCGTAAATGGATCTATGTATTTTATT